AACAGGGGGAAAAGAGAAAGAATTTTCCCCAATTTTTGCCCCTAGGTTTTTTTTTTTGGGGGGGGTTTGTAAAAGGTGGGGTTTAAAAAATGCCTTCTAAATTTAAGGGTAAACTTTTTTTTTTGCTAAAGTGGGGGTTAATTTCCAGAGGTGGGGGAAAAAACATGTTAAGGTTTAATCCGCTTTTGGACGGGGTGTTGTAAAGTTGGGTGTAAACACCAGAATTTTAAAGTAAAAGTGTCTTTGTTTTTCCATGAGAAAAATTTTCTTTTCTTGAAGAACCACCATTTTAAAATATTATACGATGCATGGGTAAGAGGAAGATCCCCCTTAAGTTTATTAAAGAAAAGGGTTTGCAAGACTCCAGCTTATGAGTGCTCGGTCATTGTTCCGCAATAATTTATTTTTTTTTGGATAATAAATGTGCGACTCGCCTTTCAGGGGCATTTTCCCCCGAATATTAATTCCATATTTTAGGTGTGAGTGCACAATTTGCAAAATACATTGTTCCGAAATTTTCTCAACGTTGGAGCTTGACCCGAGGGTGTTATAGGGCATAGCAAGATTTGCTGAGCCTTCTTTTTAAGATTTGAGGATGTGGAATGTTTCCATTTAGGTTTTCTTGAATTGTTAGTCTGAAGGGAACGTAGTATATGTGAGATTCGTTACAGGGTTTTGGTTTATGAGCAATGCTGTGAGAGCTTTTTTCTTTTAGATCGAGGATCCATGAAAAATTTAGAGAGGACTGTCTTGGCTGGTTATGTTGAATTTGTTGTCTTGAATCCGCCATTTTACTAGTGGCTGCAAAGTTTTGTGAGTTTTCGTTCTTCTAATGATTGTTGTGTTTTTTGCTTTAATGATAATGTTTGTGTCATCTGCGAACAAAATTATTTTGTTGTTCCTAAAGCCATTTTATGTATATAAGGAATGTCATGTAAGCTGTTATTTTATATATAAGGAAAAGTTTGGCAAGGATGGATCTGTGGGACTCCACAATTTTTATTATTTGAGGACAGGAGCAGTATGAGGAGATTTTGTTTTCTTTAGTGTGGTGGAAGGGCACTATTTGGCTACGGTTTGATAAATAATTGATCCATTGGCCTGCAATGCCAAATCCCTTGCATTTGTAGTTTTCTTAAAAGTATATGATGTCAATGAATGTAAAGCGCTTTTGGCAAAATCTAAAAAAAGGGCCATGGTATTTCTTCTGATTTAGTGCAACAAATATGTCATTTTAAAAAGGAGAAGAATGGGCTGTTCTGTGGATCTAATTACTCTGAAGCATGTGGTACATTTTGTAAGGAATTATTATTAAGAAAACTTGTTTGAGTGTCATTGAAAAAGCTTTCCGAATTTTTTGAAAATCTGATAACAGGGAGAATTGGGTCTGTAGTTCATTGATCATAACTATTGCCCTTTTAAACATGGTTTTTAATTTTTGCTATTTGAATATATCTGGAATCATGCCTGATTTTAGAGCGTAATTGCATGATGTGAGAGAGTGATTGGCACTATACATGGAGAACTGTGTTTTTAAATAAAAATCTGGAATATTGTCATGCCTGCTGAGAATTTATCTCCATTTGTCAATGATTTAAAAATTTCAGAGGAGGTGGTTTTTCATATAAGAAATATTGGAAATTTACAATTGTGTAATATCTGTGGTTTGTTTGGCTGTGTTTGATTGTTTGAGGTGTTGGGACGATTATACTTATTACTAATTTGTGAAAAGTGTTAATTGAATATATCAGCTTTTCTTGTGGGTCTTGTACAGTTTTGTTTTTGTGTGGAGCTCTATACTTTTTTTTGTTATTATTAGTTGGTGCTGTAGTTTTTTTTAATAATGTCCCACCATAGCTTTTTGTTTTAACTTACATGCATTTGCAATGTACTTATCAATTTGTTATAATTTTTGCCTGTTTGATTTACTTTTTTTTAGGATCGAATTATGTTTTGTAATATGCAATGAAGTTTGAGTTACACTGTTATTTGTTAGTATTTTTATACATGTTGCGTTTTCTTTCACAGTGACACTATTGATGCCTGTGGTATTCAGATTTGTTTTTTTTTATTTGGGATCATTTGAGTTTTGAGGAAAAATGGCAGAAGATTAAAGGTCTATATTTAATGAATGAGTTAAACTTATCCATTTGTATCGGTTTGCCTTATATACTTCATTCCAGTTTCAATCTGAGTAAGATTTTTGAAATTTATTATGTTTCTTGGGATACGTTTACGGATTTCTTATGTAAGTTGTTTGTTTTTCTGTTTTGAAGAGTTAGAATCTGGGTAGTTGTGGTCACTGAAACCTGTATTAATATAGCAACAGAAAAACAATGGTTATTTGCATCTATTATTATTTGCATCTTAGCAGTGCTACTATTTTTGGATATTCGTGTTGTTTTTGTGTATTTATCGGTTGTTTTTGTAAATTGTATGATTTTTAGTTGGTCTTTAAACTAGATTTTCATTACTCAGATTGTTGAGGCAATTTATATTGAAGTGCACTACCAAAGAATAGTTTTATACTGTCATGTGTTTTTTGAAGTTTTGTTTAGAAAGTTTCCAAAGATTTTTTAAAAAAGATTTTCAAATTTCAGGCAGGGCTGCGATATGTGCATAAGACCCATGTTTTTATTGTTGTTAAGTCAGTGATGGATATTTTCCAAAGTCTTTCTCTTTACAAGATGAGTGTGATTTAGTAGCATTAAAATAACATCTTGAAATGTTAATTATTAGCAGATAATTTATCTACTGTATAATATCTTTATCTACTGTAACAAGTATTGTATTTCTAGGCCAATGACCCCATCTCGATCACGTTTTGATCAGTTTCCCTGGTCCTTTGGGCAAATGCTGAGATGGCCCCTTGTTTGCTCCTGAACAGTAATATAACTTCGCTCTCCCCTCCCAAGGCATCATATTGACTCGTCATACCGATTGTAATTGTATATGTGACTCAATAAATATTATTATTATTATTATTATTATTATTATTATTATTATTATTAATACAATTGATCAGCTTTCTTTCAAATAAACAAAGTATTCGCAGCTAAATCGGTAACACATTACCGATTAATCGGTAACACAATGAGCTCATTTATCGATGTTATCCTGACTATAGTCATTATTTTTTACAAATGAACTTTTAATGTCTCTTTTTGCTGACTTTGGTTCTTCGTGCGAATAGGGGATCCCGAATGTGCCCAGAAATGTCCTATGCTCCAAGGCGTCTTCTCTTTCCAGTCGGGATGATTTTTCCCTGCTTCGCCCTATTTTCAACGTGTAACTACTTGGTGGCTGTCATTAAAATTATGTTAAACTATATTGAAATATTAGCTAGTTCATCAGATAATCATCGATTAATTTGGCCATGCAAGCGATAGTTCCCTTCTCTTCCACCTCTGTCGGGCGCCTAACCGCGTCACTCCTTACATCTATTTCAAAAA